GCAGTTGGACAATGAATAAAGAAACACAGAAGAAAAATCAAATTGTAACAAAACCAAAAAGTATGGACATCCTTCTTGGAGACCCAGGTGTGTTCACAAAATGCAGTGATATCTTGGCTGGTATGAACAAACCTGAAGACATGGAATCCCAAAGAAAGTTATTGTGTCCTTCAATTGAGTGTCAAATACCTATGCAATGATTAACTATGCTTGTTTCCAATCATGGGTGTCAAATCCTCGATTTCTACTGTGAACAGGAAAAATGTCAGTGCATTGACAGTGTGCCTAGTGTGAAGACCATTGCTACAATGTCACAGTGGTATCAAATCCAAAGAATGTCTTCTGAGTTCTTTCTCATCAAGCTTATTTCAAAGTTAAGATCTCACGATCTTCAAGGTGTCTACTTTTTTATCCAAGAAGTCTTCAATGTCCCAGATTGTTCATAACTCAGAAGTTCCATTTAAGAACATTGTACAAGGAAAAGGGGCCAAATTAGTCCACCAATTTCTTTACATTGACTCTTTCAATTCTTCTTATTTCACCACCCAAGCATTGTCCCAGCATGAAGCTGACCACATGAACCAGGCAGCCACTAATCATGTTTCATGCTCAGCCAAGTTTCTTTATCAAAGTATCAATACTGAATCAGAGTTGAATGACACCTAATTGCAGTACACTGCATGACTGCAAAAGGCCTCATCCACTAAGAGCAAAAAATTGCCTCTATTTAAATAAAAGATTTTTGCAACTGCTATCAGGAGTCCCAAAGTTAAGAGCGTTATGGTTTTCATACCATTGTTAATTTCAGTCTGGAGAACAGACTCTTTCAGCTGCTGACATTTCAGGTCAGGCTACGTAATAATCATCTTCCAGATAGTTACATTTACTCTGAAATGGTCCTGAATTTTAATAAACCTGTAGAAGTGGAGGCCATAAAGCTCTCGTCCTTGGCTAAACCCTTCACTGTGTGTTTGAGGTTTCGACTAGTTTAAGATAGGATTTATCAGTATTAGTTTCTTTTAGTCACGTACTGAATTCCAGCACAGAAGCTTCAGTATGATCCATCGGCACTGAAGGAATGGCTCTTAGAGATAAACAATGAGAACAGGAGAAGATGTGATGTCAAAAAAATGCTTAACATTTCACATAGTATAGGCTCACATTTTCACATGCATCTTAATAAACAAGAAGCCCACTTTTATTTTCTTGGGAGCTTTGGGAGCTTATCCTTGAAGCCTGAAATGTGCTGAAGTCAGTTTTAGAAATGAAAATTCAGACAACTGTTAGTAAAAACAACAGATTTCTTATTCTTGTGAGTTAACCCCAAAACCAGGACACTTATAAAGTGGTCTAGGTTTTGTCTTCACGTTTCCAAAATGATTTGTGCAACCAAATAATTTGAGTGTCTGTGTTTCATATCTACCCAAGAATGTTACAATTGCGAAAACCTTCTTAGATCTTGCTCCCCAGTGCTGCTCTAATGCTCGTAAAATGACATTTATTTCTGCTTAAAAAGATATTGAGCTAGGAATTCCCCAGGATGCTTTGAAGAGCCTCTAAAAACTATGTGTTTACTGGGAGTAAAAGGCTCCTAAGCAGCATGATTTCATTTTTCAGGGAATATGGCGCCAATACACTACTGTATCTTTGGCAATTAAAATAGAACTAACTATTCTAGCTAAAGGCTAAAGGCAGATCCATTCAGTTATGGTATTCCTGATGTAAATGGAAGATAATGAAGTCAGACATTAAATTTACCAACCGCATCCTTGCATTGGTTCGACGTCTAGAAAGTCTTTTAAACTTTTAAAATATAGAGCCAATTGTAATATTTCAGTACTGAAATGACAGATGTAATTCGTCTAGTTATATTAACTTTATTTAGCTATTCTTAATTTTGTATTTATTTATATAATTTATCTTAAAATAAAGATGTATACTTTTCAAATACAATGTTTCTTGACATGGTCAGTCTTTTTTTTTTTTTCATTTTAGTTCATCATATTTATTCCATTTGCTTACTGACCTCTTACATCAGCTTTTACAGCAGTTTTCAAGAAGGTAACTAATTTCATGGTTTAGAGCAATGACAATCCTTCAGAACAAAGGTTTGAAGCCATAGATAGTTGGAAAAATTAAGATAGCATAAAAATATAAATATATATATTATATATATACCTCCCACAAAAATACCATCTCTTCGGGTCAGAACAGAATAGTTACTCTTTAACACTTTGAATAGAACTTAAGAAAACATCCCTGAACCTGATTGTTTTTCTGAGTTCGTCACTCAGCCACTTCCCTGCAGGCTGATTTCACACTCTTATTCCAGTGAGTGACTGTGTCTTCGATGAAATGATCTGCTTCCTTGTGCTTTAGGCTTCCTCTTGGCCCTGGAGTGCTACAGGAATATGAAATATGATGGCATTTTTTCCTTTAATAGTGTTCTCCGCACTGGATGTATTGACAAGTAGGTGTAAAGTGTTTTCTGTTTGCTACCTCCTCTGTCATCTGCAGTGGACATACCTTGACCAGAAGTTCTCTTTGTCCCATCAGATTGCTGTGCCAGTATTTTCCTTGACAGATACATACATACATACATATATATATCTATATCTGTATGTATGTATAATAGAACTGTTGTGCTGATGTCCTGGGTATGCCAGCTTGTTACTGACCGAGAGGAGGGTGGAGCAGCAAGGCACAGAAAATCCACTATACATTCTAACATTTAGGCTTTATCCTTTATTAGGTAGTGAGTAAGAGACAAAAAGAACTGAGTTTGTTGTTTACAGCTGAACTTTAAAAGAGACTTGTGTGAACAAAAACTTGTTCCATAGAGCACTGTGACAAAAGAGGTCCAAGAAAACCGAAGGTGTCATTGCAAATTAGCTGATGTAAAGTAGTTGGAATGACACTCTTTTATTTCTAGCAAAATTTGTATGAACTCTGCCCTTAGTACTGTGCCTCCATACATGCCACAGGCCACGTTTTGGCAAGGATCAGCCTGTTGATTTTGATGGCATCACAACATGGCAGGATGTACAGCAGGTGTCCATGCACCAGAAGGCTGTGCATAAGAGCCTTCGGGATATTTGTCTATCTCCCATTTTCTCATCTGCCTGATTCCTCATGGGGAAAAAATAGCCTGCCCAGATCTTCTACCTTCCCAAAATGTGAGTGCTCCTCTGCTCCTTTAGAAAGATCTTTCTTACACACGCTCTTACAAAAGGCTCTGGAAACAAGTGGTAGTTCATGGAGCACAGCTTGAAAGCTGCTGCCCTTTTCAAGGAGGAATCTGAATGCAGCTGGCAATGGCATTACAGCTTCTGCAAACAGATGGAAGTTTGAAAGCAGGCTTAAAAGACCAAGTCCACTGCATCTTACTATCTCATGTACCCAAATAAAATGAAACATTTTCTAAATTGAGTGTGAGAAGCAGGTTTTGAAGGCTGGCTTATTTACTGCCTCTTTACTGGGAGCTGTAGAGTAGAGAGCCCTTTTAAATGTCAGCCCCTAGTTATTTAGATGTCTAAACTTGGCTTCAGGAACTTACTCATACTGTTGTTTTGAAAGTTAGGCCAAAGCAATCCAGCTGGTAATTAGCCCTGGAATCACCATAATTTCTTTTTCATGGCTACATAGGTGTGAATTTAATATAAACAAAAGCTCATTTCATTTCAAGGCACAAACGTTTGCAAATAAACTGGATGAAATACAAATACATAATATAGAACTTATTTTAATACTTCTAGATAAATAAATGCATCTCTTTGGAATTCTTTGGACACAGATATCCATGGAACCTCTTCTTTCTCTCTCTTTATATATTTTTTATAAAATCTAAATGTGGAGAGGTTTAAAAAATGGCAAATACGAATGTATATGGAAGGCTCACTGATGAACTGCAAGTCAAAAGTGCTGTATATTCCCATCTTGTATATCTCCCACCTGTCTGCATTAACCACAGGCAGCATTATATAGCAACCACATGGTCAATATTTTGCATTACTGCCTTTTAATAAAATCTTTCAAATTATTTCCCCATCTAAACTTAAATTATGCTTTTAAATATTATTCTGCCTAAATGTACGGTAGGCATTTCACTTAGCTACACATCAGAGTGGTTGCATGAGACTCAGCAGCACACTCCATAATATTAATAGATACTTTTCAGCTCCCTATGGGAAAAAGCAGGCAGCAAGGATCAGATTCAAGAAGTCTATTTTTTTCTCTGTTGTTTGTTACTTACCACTTAATGACCCACATGTGAAATCAATGGTTATATAATTATTTTTATATAGTAGATTTTCTGTTTATAAGTTATTTTTCTTACTCTAACATATATACAATATATCTATATATACCCCTGATAAATCTTACTTTAAAGGGACACAGTCAACCCCTTTAAGCCTCACAGTAAATATATAAGGCTTTAAGCTGTCCGTACATAACAGTCAGCTACAGAATTCAAGGGTCCCTTGAGATCCTAAAAGTTGTATTTGTTCCAAACCCATGATGTGCAGTTATCTCGTAATATGTATCTCATGTGTCACTGTTTACATTTTATAGGTATATTAAGACATTTTATATCACATCAGTAGGAAATAAAACAAGGGAGTAAGTCTGCTGCTAAGACTAAGCCTATTGCAAAAAATATTACCTGTATCTACAGACACTCCCACTGGTGTGATATAAAATGTATATGTGCCATTCTTGGGATGAAATTCTGGCTACACTGCAGTCAGAAGGAACTTTAAACTGACTTAAATGAGACCAGGATTTCTCTTCTGTTTTTCATTTGTCAGTTATGACTCTGTGTAAGTGATTTGTGTCTTCCCTCTGCTCAACACTGGAGTGTCAGGCCTGTTTCATGACAAGAGCATATTTTTTGTTTTCCACTGTCATGTCTTAAACATTGATCTATCCTGTATGTATTACACTCTTTGAATAAACACACAGTGTACACATACATTTTCAGTTAAATAAAGGTTTGATCCATCCTGTGTACAGCATCTGAATTATTTTTCCCCCACTAGATCTTCTTTATCACTTTTTTTGCCCTAACTTTGATTATTTTCATTCTTCTGTGAGTGAGGAAAACTTTGCTCACTAGGAACAGCTCCATCTTATTGTAATAATTTTTTGACTACTTACCAAAGTGACATAATTTTGTTCATTTTGTCTTTTGCAACTCAGTTAGAAACCTAGTGGCATAGATAGAGACACAATACTACTGTTTTACAAGACATCTATTGTATCTACTTTTGTTCAGATAAATACCCAGTAACTGCTGATTTGGCAGGATTGGTAAGGGTACTACTATTCACAGTGTTTCTTTTTTTTTTCCTTCTTCTTTAATCTACAGAATAAAGTATTTTATATACATTGGAACCAGTTAATGCCCTTTAGACAAATTTGTAAGTTGTTTCATAAAGCAGGAAAGACATTGCAGGGAAATATGTGCCAAAATGCACAGTCAAAAGGCTTTATAAGTTTTATATGTCACTACAAGTCAATGCTGGAGATCAGTTCTAAAACGATCAATGCTCAAGAGAAATGTTCTCATCTGGAGAAAATACTGCCCATTTCCCCTTTCAGAATTTGTTCAGTTCTCTATCAAAAGTTCTGGCTCTTCATATATACTTTAAACTATAAATAAACACTGCATAGTTCAATGTTCTTGATTTTCATTTTTTTGTTGTTGTTGTTTCTTTTGATTTGAAAAATTATTGCAGTACAATTAATTCCTGTTTGGAGTTCAGTAAGGAGCAAACAGCACAGGAGTGTGGGTGGTCCGTATAGGCCCAGGAGCTGGTCGTAGGAGTGCTGGAGGAAGTGCTGAAGTCTGGAAAAGGGTGGCTGCTGGGGCTGTGCGAAGACTGAAGGGGGAATTCACAGCCACAGCAGCAGCTGCTGCTGCAGCTGCTAGCGGATTTGGTAAGATTCGTGGGGCCATCGGCTTTGACGGTTCCTTTGAAAATACTAATTTTACCTGTGGGGAAGAAGAGAAAACAAACAAACAGACACACATGATTTGTTCACATTAGCTACAAGAGAGGGAGCTTGACTTAAGATCGTACGTGCAAAATCAAGCAAGAGAGGCTTTGTGGTGGCTACCAACTCTGTGAGCAACAGACTCATAAACAGGTGAAACGACCTCACCTACTGGACAAGGTAGAAGGATTTGGTTGGGGACAAAGAGTTTCTGTGCTCACACTCTGTTGCTGACTCATAATTTAATATGAGATAGAAATCAAAGCAAATCTAAAACAGGCCTGGGGAATCTGCACCAAAGTAAAGCTGCATGTACCCTGCAAAAATTAAACAAGGAAAAATTAGATAACAATTAACAGATCTCCATCTGGACAGCTTAATGCAGAGACCAGAGAAGAATGAAAATGTATCCTAATCCCTGGTCTTACAAGATACTTTTGTTTTAATCACTAGGATGTGAGTTCTACTTAAAATTAAGATCTCCATATAGCTTCTCTTCATTTACTCCTGCTTCTAATAATAAGCAAATAAACCAATCTCATCTTTCATGAATTATGAAAATCTCTCATGTTTCATGTGTTTAAATGGGTTCTGCCCCATGTAATTTTGCTGCATCTTCAATGTCTTCAACTGTTTTCCACTAAGATACTGTTCATTCCTGCAAGGATTGTGAAAACCTGGAAGATATTTTAAAGTAGTATTCTGTCAAACTACAATATTTCTGTTCCTGTCACTGAGGTTTCTTCTTAAAAAACATATTAAATCATGGCATGATTTTAAATCTTGTGGATTACCAAATACAAATCAAGAAACCCCTCATTTAGAGTTTCCTAAAAAAGGAAAAACCCCAAACCCTGAAGTTTCTCCAAGACTGAAAATACTCGCAAGAGGTCCAGTAATATTTAAGAAAATTTACACTTAGGATGTATACAAATGACCATCTGAGTAGTCTCTATGTATTTCTGCAGTTTTTAGAGGAATTAAAAGTTTCTAATGAGATGCCAGGAGCCTGAATACCTTTGCAGTCCTGTTTTTATGACTCTGAGATAAGATTAGAAACTTCATTTACAAAGAAAAGTTCCCATTGTCTCTGATGGACTTTTGGTGGTTTTGTGTCCTAGCATGATCTGAGGCCTCTTGCAAAGAGCACAAACCTGAATACGTGGTATTGAATATACAGAATATATGTACCATGCTGTGGTACAACTCAGTCTAAATATGGACACCTTTTACATACAAGGAAACAGAATTTCTCATTCTTGACTTGAAAGGGATTTTCATCAAGTAATTAACTTGTACAATATCATTGACATTTTCAACTCAGCAGAACCCTAGTGAGTGAATTATCAGAAAGTAAGGACAGGAGTACTCTGGCATGAACCACAATTGAGTTTCATCATTACACTATCACCATATTCCAAAAGGTCTGTTGGTTCTTTACTAGCCAGATGGATAGAGGATTTTTATTTTTCCCAATAACTGTTGGCAACACTGCTGGCTTCCAGATCCTTTAATGTTCTAGGAGAAATACTCAGATCAAACCAAATTATTTAATTCTCTTAACAAAGGATATAATAGATGCTAGATACAAAATTCCTTAGGGTGGCTATGAAAAGCAATGATCTGATCTTTTCCTTGATCAGTGTTATGCTCACTGATCCAAGCTGTCTTGTTCCTTTGTTGAACATATGACTTTTTCCTCCGTCCTTGCATTTTTTAAGAAATACCTTTTACCGCTTTATTAAGAACAGGTAAAAACCCAACCTCAAAAACAAACAAAAAACATCATAAAACAAAACAAAAATCCCCCACCTAAACAAAAAAAAACAAACAAAAAAAACCAAAACCAAAAAACAAAACAAACAAAAAAACCAAAACAAACCCAAAACCACCCTGAGGAAAATTTTAAAAAGTAACCCTGATTACTACCCTGGTCTAGAGTACCCACTGAAGGATTTTTTTTTTAACAGCCATTTTATTGCAGAAAGTCTGGACTGTCAAATACTTGATAGCCTTTTTCTCTCCAGTGAAATATTTTATACATGCTGGACAGTTGTGTCCTGAAGAAATATCAACTAAGTCACAACACTACAAAACTTCTTAAACTCTGAATTATCACTGTGAGAATTTATAAAGCTTCTGTCTCTGAAGCATGTAAATCTAGAATAGACAGAGAAGTACAAATGATATTGAAAACATCTTTTAAAAATGTTTTTGGTCTAGAAAAGTTATGAAAATGTAACATATTCCTTTTTAAATTTCTGTAGATAAAATGGGTGATGCCCATACATCTTGTGTCATCTTTGTCAGAACAAAGATCTTGTGGCTGTTTCTATTAAAAGGCTAAGACTTTCTTGCTATTCTTGGAGAAATCAGGGACTTCTAATGTAGTTAGATAGCTTTTCAGTTAACTTATCAATGTGATTCTGATTTCAAGGTAGCTGCAAAACTAGTAATATTTAGCATATACAGTACCTTGCACCTTCATTTCTAACCACTAATTAACTCACAGGTCTATATTAGGAGTAAAGTAGCAATTATTTGTTTCATTTCCAATGAAGTAAGCTAAGGGACAAATAACTTGAAATATTAACGGGAAGCATCCTGGTTTCAGCTAGGGAGAGGGAGTAAAGAAAAAGCAAAGAAAGAACACTAAATTAAAGGTGAAATTAGAATATCTCCGGCTTGTTGCTGTGCCATTTTGCACTTCAAGTGACAACATTTCCCACTGTTTTTTATATTCAGGACCAAAAATACTACATGGAGAACTGGTGTCTCCCTTCTTATTGAAGCCACAATTCTACTACACACATCTGTTCATTTATTGCTAACTCGTTCTCCCCTTCTTAAAAATCTATTTTTCCTCTTTGATGCCCTCTAGCCTGTATATTGTGAGCAATTGGGTTTGAGGGAGCTGGAAAAGGACATACTGCCATTATTTGTCTTGAACCTTGGCTAGAGTTCTCAGATATCACCATTACATAAATTGGTAGGGAACTGTACACAACAACAAAAACAACAATGTAATTGTTGTTTTTATCCCCTCAAAAAGAATGAATTTCCTAAAGGAATAATAATCCTGTCAAAAAGGCTTTCCTGATTCCATATCCTAGTTACCCATTGCATATTTTCTATTCCTTTCTGTATAGCTTCTATTGGAGACCCTGATCTTTCTTGTGGATTCCTGAGAAACTCTATGAGGCTCTTTCTCTATTACTGGATCTACCAGAATGGTAGAATCCTGCCAGAATCCTGCATGAATATGCCACTCATGAGGGCTGCACCAAAACGGACACAGTTTCTGCTGCCAAGAGCTTGAACTCAATGTAAAGAGAAATGGGTTTTCACAAGAAAAAAAAAAAACAACAAAAAAACAAAACAAACCCCCCCAAAAACAAACCCCCAAAAAAACCACAAAAAACAAACAAACAAACAAAAAAACCCAAAAAACCCCCAAAAACCCATCTCCATATTGTGATGCATCAGAGAAGATGGTCAAGGCATAAGAGGTTATGAGGACAATGAATCAACACGCTCCCTCTGCCAGAACCATTTATAAACCCCTTCAAAGCAGCAGGTATAATATTAATGAAGTTTAACTAATGGAGAAGATAAATGTCAGATGTTTCACTATCTCACCCACAATGTAAGCTGATTCTTAACTAGTGGCTGCATCCTAGAGGGTTTTTTATTAAAAAGTAAACTTTTTTCTCAGCTTTTGGAGCTAGTAAGAATTGTGTTTCAGATAGTTTATCCTGCCTGTTGAAAATGTGAGTAGAACCATCCTGAAACAGTTGAATGACAGATTTTTTTAATTGTTTCACTTGTTATCTCAGCAAGTCTCTAAATAAGGATAGAATGAATGGTTTATATTTTATAGAGTTTTATTTAGCTATTTCATCACTATTGTCCTTGGTGAAAACTGGAAAAGTCCTGTTTGACATCTGGAGGTTTTTTCCGTTTCTTGCTCTCTAATGACCTTTGCAAACAAGCTTCTTTTCTGAGGTTATTAAGAATAGCTACAAAAGCAAGGGTCCACAGGTTGTAGTAAACACTCCTTAAAGTATATTAAAAAATCCCTTGTGGGCTCCCACTGGCTCCTTCATATATTTGATACCCCAATGACTTACACTGTTATTCTACTTCTAAACATTTTTCCACTTAGGTTTTCTTAAAGTCCTACTCATCAGGATTAAAATAAGAGTCAAATAAAAACGGTTATTGACTTACCCCTAGAGGATGTGTTCCCTTTTGGAGTTTGTTGTAAGGGCTGTATTTAGGTTTAGGTGGCTTCCCAGCAGCTCTGTCTTTGTGCCTTCTACTGCTTATGTGCTGTTAAAATATATTTGGGGGGGAAAGGGGGGGGAGGAGGGGAAAGAAAACAAAGGGTGATAGTTCCACAACAGATCACTTCAGATTCTGTTTTAAACAAAATTACTACTCCAATACTAAAGACTTTTGCTCTACAACAGCATTACTTTGACTAATAATTTCAATAATGAAAGGGGATAGTCTCTCTTGAAATTTGAAGGATCCTTTGTGCACCACATATTGGGACTGTAATTTTCGTCAGTCCTAAGTTCAACTCTGCTTCCACTACAGTTAAATATTTTCCCACCTTTTCTAACTTCATCAGGGCTTGAGTCAGGTTAAAGACAGAAGCCATTGAAAAACTCCCCCCTAACTCTATAAAGCACCCATCAAATTCAATCCACTGCTGATAGAAAGTTTTTAAAGAATATTAGATAGTAAAGCATCCCCTATTTGGGGAAGAATATAAGGTCATAAAATTGTTTAAATCCCTAAGCTGCCTGGAGATCCTTCTGAGATCGTTATATATCAAACTAAGTGACAGTGAAAAAATTGAACGACATCCATTATCTTCTTCATAAGATCTATGAGATTTTAAAAGTATCTTTCTACACAGATTATCTTGCAGTATATTTGAAGTAAGGGACCTTTCTCAGAATTGTATTTTTACTTTGATTTTCATTTTCAAGAGTATTAGCACAATAAAAAGACATAGAACTGGAAATTTTTTCCTGAAACTAGAAGAATGGGTATTGCAATTGTCCATTATTTAATTCATCTTAGTTTTTAAAAATTTCCTTAACAAGTAGTTAATTCCAATAGCCATATGGAATTAAACTAAGTGTTTTTCAGAAAACTTTGATCATCCAAAGAATGACTGAACATAACTTAGTGTAAATGCAATTTGGAGGTCATGCTTCTCAGTTAGAGTGGAATCTTGATAAAAACATTAGAAATACTCTCCATCCCACATTTTTAAGGGGTTTATTCAGTGTTCTGTAGAAGTACTGGCTGCACCCACCTTCACATCTTTGTCAAGGTAAATATCATGCAGTACATGAAATGATGGAGTTTATTAGCTCAGGACAGTTCTAGCAGTCTAAAGACAGTTGTAACATGCTGCAGCTTACACCTTCTATAACTTTTGAGAAGACATATTCCATGCAATGGAAAATCATAATCAAAACAAAACATACACCATGGCAGCCAAGTACAGTGGACAAAACTGTAAGTTCCATTTGGACACAAACTGTTATATTGACATGTGCTGACTGTGTTGGTATTTTACCACCATGAAAACAAAGAACAGCCAAAGATTCTCATTGTACAAGCTGGCTGAGTACCTGTTTCAGTTGTGTCTCAGAGTTTACGTGCACATCACATATTTCACAGTGAAATGTTTTGTTCTGAAGACCTGTGTTTCCTTTATTCACAGGTCCTTTGCCTTTTACGCCTGCCCGAGGAAAGGCTTTTATGGTTCCACTTCCATTCCGAGCTTCCAGCATAGTTTTGTGCTTAGTCCCTGGAGACAATAGAAATGGGAAAGAGAAACAACTTTGGCAATTGTGTTGCATTCATGGTTTCATTTTCTTTTTAAAAAAAATCATATGGGCCTCAGCTTCATGCCATGTGCTATCATTGGAATAAGACTGTGTTGGTCTGTATCAGAGTCATACTAATGTAACACTATTTCACACCTGATATTTAGTTACTAAATTACAAACCTATAGGTAATGCACTAGAACAAAGCAGCCACACCGGAAAGTAGCGGCACAATCAGATACCCTGATGCGAAGATTAAAGCGTGTGACTTTTCTCATTAACTCCTGCTGCTAATAAGACCTGAATTGTAGTTGCAAAAGAAAAGTAATTTAGCTATTAAAGATGTAGTTGGCTTTGATTTGTAGTCCTCCTGAATAGATTGATAAACAGTATGTCTTGGTAGCTTACAATTAAATCTGTAATTAACTAATTACTCTCCAAACCAGAAAGGGGCAGAGGTTCCTGGAAGCAACCTATGGATCATTGATGTCCTGGATAGAAACCAAAATATGTGAAAAACATTTATATGAGAAAAATGCACTTGCTTTTTTTTTTTTTTTTTCTTTGTAAATAAAGGTTGGATAGAGAATACTGGTGTTCTGTTGCTGCATCTTTATTCAGCCTGAGCAATTTCTTACACTCTTGACTCCCACACAGGTAGTCTGTGATGATAATGGAATAACTACTGCACACAGAACCACTGCTCCACTGCTAATTGCTGTATGCATCCACAGAGACTTTAAAAAAAAATGCATGTGTTTGAGCACACACACAGTTTATCAGCACAGGCAGCAAACACTTGGAAGGTTGTGTTTAAATATTCAGAATAGCATTTAGGCTCTCAGCCTGATCAGAATATTTAGAGTCTAACTCTCATTAAAAGGGTACAGCTTGAAGTTGAACTTTCACCAGTTGAAGATCTGGCATACAGTAAACAGCATTCAAAACTGATGGAATTTTGTTTCTCATGAATGCCAGAAAGTTATAATTACCATTCTAATTTGAGTTCTATAGATATGCCAAAGTTATTTTCTTTAATTGCATCATAAAACCATTGATCACTTTGCTCTAGGTATATTATCACTGTCTCTACATTTCAAACCTAAGGTTCTCTTTCTGTCTCTTAACTTTACTTACCCTTTATAAGAGGTAGCCCCTGACATCCAAAATCAGGAACTTTCTGTAATGTGGCTATAGGTGGTCACTGCCACCATATCAAATCCCTAGATCTTTTAACCTCACCCACCAGAGAGCCAGCCAATATCATGCTTAAAATAGTGAATGTGAATGGTGGCTCTCTACCACCAGAACTTACTGATACTACTATCTCTAATGACAAGAAAAAGTTTAAAAACTAAGAAAGATATAGGTAGGCAGTTACCCATTCAACTCTTATGCAGCAGCTGCCATCAGTTGATGAAAACAAAGTGAAAATATACATAATTTTAACACGTTATTTAGTAACAGACAATATGGAGCAAAAAACTCGAACTCCCATCATTGAACTTGACTGATGCTCCTTCTTTCAGCCTTAATTTCTTAGATTTCAAACAAAGCTAATGGCATTCATACTCAGTTTGCTAGTTGGCACAATCAAAAGTATGCAAACTCTGAATACCAAAGGTAATGAAGTAGAGCTGTCATTTAGCTTGATAAGGTTTTGAAGTTGAAAAAGCTAAAGTGTAAGAAAATACGCAACTTGCAATACATTCCTTTCTTTCCCTCTTTTGAAAGCCTCTTTGCCTGTCATTTTTATACTTTAATACTTAATGAATTCCATGTAATCGCCACTTTTCTGCCACCTCCTTGTTCCCTGCTGCAAGAGATCAGGGGAAGATAATTGCAGCACTCTTGAGACCGAAGGAAAAAAAAAAAAGGAAGCAAGCAAGCACTGCTCCATCTCACCACTGTTGTGCGCCTCCAGCTGTGAGGCAGAGTTGACAGCGACTTTGCATAGTGAACAGTACAGCAGTCTTTTTGCTTTTTCTTCCTCAGTCTCCACGGAAGGGCAAGTGCTGCTGCTAGTGGCTGTTGTGGGGATTTTCTCCACTTTAGAGGTGATCTCAGTTGTCATAACACTGCTCTTCCGGATTTCCACGGTTGTCGTCGTTGATATTGCTGGTGTCCCTGTGTTAGCGTCTGTGGGCAAAGAGAGAAGAGGGAAAGAAAGGTAAACAAACAAAAAAAAATCATGTGACCTTTGGTGTTTGCTTGTTGACATCCCAATGCTGTGGTGACACAGAGAGGCAGATTGTTCTGGTGGTGCTTCGACTAATGGTAATGAACTAAACCTGACCTTTTTCTTTGTGTTTCTTGTGGTTACGAAATACAGTACACCCATGTATTGAATAACCATGTGTTGCCTCATGCAGTCTGCTCACACAGAATGCATAAATTGAACAAAAAGGTCATTAAGACTGCACTGTACAACAGAAGAAAAATGCAATAAAAGAAGTCATGTAAATGACCAGTACCACAGGCAGTTAAAATTTATACACACAACTTCAGATGCACAAACAGCATAGTAACACATCATACTTATGCTGATTGGGTAGCCAAGCTAAAGTTTTAACACCTTACTAATAAGACTAAAATGAAAAAAATGCTCTTTATATCTGGTAAAAAAAAATTAAATTGATACTTCACTTGATTTTTCCCAACACCAACACTAAAATAATGAATTATAAATACACATTACACATTATTATCCATTGGTATGTAATAATGCTACATACTAACAGCAACAGTAAATAAATATACAACATTCCATATCTGACACCTAAACGAACACTAATAAGATTTTCATTCTGCTTATCAATAATATTTTTGGAAAGACTACAAGCAAAAAATATAGCTAAATTTGGAAACCTAGTTCTTGCACCTAAGAACTTGTGCTTTTCCTGTAGTTCTCAAATCAAAGAGAGAGTAAATACACAATGATATTGGAGTTTGAATAATTGATACATGATGTTTGGATATGGCAGTATCATGTGGTTGTTAAGTACTTAGCAGGGTGGAGGACAGCAAAATCCAGCAGTGAAGAAGATGGCAGGTACAGGACATGAGAAGGAGACAAAGAATAGAAGCTGTTCTGCCTTTGCAGCATTGTATTTGATCATATTAAGCTTACTGAGTAGTAGCTTTAACCAAAAAAAAAAAAAAAAAAACCAACCAAAAAAACCCCCAACTTAGTTACTTTACTGAGATACGCCTAGATTTGGGTACTTTCCAGGCAGGTAATTTTGGTTTCATACATCACTTGGTGTTAGTGATGCTCTACCTGTACTATGCTTTATTTATTGTCTCCCATCAGAATAGACAAAATAGCAATTCTTTCACTTACAGAGCTAAGTACGGGCTCTGATGCAAAATGGACACAACTGACTGATATCACTGTGGTGCGACTAGTACTTTTAAAAACTTTGTTAATGGAGAACATTCCTCATAGCTTAGCAGGCAATACCAAACTGGAAGCAAGGCAAACACACTAAGAAACCTGATTCAAAACAATGTTTTGAAGAAACAGTTTAGAAAATTAGATACTTTTCAGTAAAGACAATTGCGGGAATCCTCACTCAGTAGGTTTGATCTGATCTAGTAACACAGAATGCTGAACAACAAGCCCAGTACTTCATTTGGGGAAGTTTTATTGTTTATTTCATTTTGATTGTTTTCTTTGTTTATTTGCTTGGTCTTCAGAAAAATCTTCCAGTAGCAGATGTGATGAACACAGATTTCTTCTATCATTTGCTATAAAACACGTCCTCACCACACTGAAAGTGCAAAGCAAAATATTTAGGAGGTATTTTTTCCTCCTCTGGTCATCTCTGGAGGCCCTGGGTCCAGCAATGTCAAAAAACGGCCGCCAAATTACTTGCTTTGCTCTTAATCCAGGTGCACTACAAATGCAAAGCAACAAGAGAGGGTTTGTGATGGAGAGAGCCAAAATAAATTAGAGGTTTAAAAAACATGAATTGTGAATATGGAAGAAAAAGGGTGACAATGTTTTTCATATCTGTAGAAGGTAGTTAAAAATAAGAGAATATACTCTTCTCCCTCATCCTTCCTAGTAGAACAAGGACTATTGGATTACATCAAGAGAGGCTTAGATTAGATGTGAGGAAATTCTTTCTAATATTAAAGTTTATGAAGCCTGGGAATAGCCTACCTACACAGATCCAGAAACATTTCCTACTGGGGGACTTGAAGCTGGCTGAACGAATATCTACACAAATATGATTCCCTTTCAGTCAGTCGGAATATGATCCTTTAATCTCGATTAAGTTCTATACATTGTATATTTTGTAATGTTTCTACATACTCTCCCAGAGGCTCTTTAAAAATTATCATTCATAAACCCATGAAAGTAGAGGTTTTCATGTGAATATTCTAAGTATTGACAGGCATTAAAGCATGTAGCAAAAAAATAAAGTCCCACTCAAGGTCAAATCACAATTTGTTTTCTTTTTCCTGAAAGATATCCTGAAGGCTGTTATATTCTGAAAGTACTGGGGATGTCAAATATCAGTGCAGAAGGAATGGTGTTACCTTGCTGAATGGTCTCTTTTTATTTGTGGTTTTTTTGAAAATAATATTTCAAAATAAAAACAAAAATTTGAAATGTTAAGCCTTTTATTAGGAAACTGATGGAAAAATAAAGCCCTTGAAAATCTGTCCACAAAACTGCAGTTAATTACTCACTCTGTTCCCATTCCAAAGAGTCCACTGAATGTTTGCTTTATTTTAGTCAAAAATTGCTGCAGTGAAATTATTTTACTCAAAAGCCCAACCCCAGCCCAAACCCAGTTGCTTTATAACCATTAACACTGCTTTTAAAACATCAGTTTCTGCATCCTGGTACTATTATATAGTATATTGTATTGTATAGGCTTAGCCAATGAACTCTCTTGGTGACATGGAAGGCAAAGGGCAGATGGCCCAGGGAGGGGAAAGGGACATGAACATTCTCTCAGGACTGATGGCAGAGTTGGTGCTCAGTCTAATCTTGCAGGAAATTAGATACATACATGAATCACCATTGCCAGCTTTGCAGTGTAAGGGTTGGTATTTAGCCCTAAGCAAAATATAGACGATAATTTCTTTACTTTCCACAGGAAAACCTGAGGCAATGAATGAAAGAAAAAAAAAAAAAAAAGTTTCAATAACAGCAGCAGATTTTATTCTGCTTCAAGTAGCTGACCTTCTGTATCTATGCTGATCTAATATTTCACCATGTAATTATTTTAAAGCGAAAAGAAAATACAATCAATTATGCTAGCTCTTTTGGATATTTTGAGGGTATTTTGAGATGCATGAATGAAAGCAGCATAGTATATAAAAATTAAAAATGGTAAATGTCATCAGCATATTCTTCATCTCAAAAAATGATCAAAGTTCAGTGCATATATTCTGCATTTTTAAGAGGGGCCCTATATGAACACACTTTATATTCTACTAATGCAAATATATTACTGACATTAAAACAAAAATAGAAAGCCATTGAAGTTCACTGTGTAAAAGCCATGACACATTTAAAGATGCAAAGCTGCTCATCCTCACATAAAGTTTAGAATTTTCAGCAAAGATTAAGGATAAAACATTCTAAAAGCTGTCAAGTAAGCTTACAAAGAGGCAATTCAATTCCCTTTCTCACAAGAACTTCTAACCCCAGCATGGGTCCCTTTGAATATATTAAAGTGTTGCTGCCTGTCTACAGTTCAGTGTCCTAAATACAGGGTTCAGCATTAAAGTTATAAGGGATTAAAAAACAAAAAAAAAACAAGGAAAAACAACACCAAAAAGAAGCAGGAAGGCATTTGAGTTCATGCCTTGTAGACTGAATCAGCATTTTTTACCACTATATTATGACAGTGCTTTAACAGCTATTTCAATTATAAATGTTCTAAAATTGAGCTGGAAATTCAGCCACAGTCAAATGGAAGATTTGCTTCTGGTGACGCAGGCTTGCAGCACTGTGCTATTTTCATACCAGTGGCCCACAGCAAATATTCATTATTGCAACTGTCACTGCTTGGCTTTAGTATAGAAATTGATTGCTGATATTGTATGGAACTGGACTCCAGTAGCTAAAAAAAAAAAAAAAAGGAACACTTCAGGATTCACAATAATCCATTTGTGTTCCTGGTCTTAATATAGCAACAGAATAAAAACTAAAAATATAAAAATATTACATTACAATCTAATCTTGGTCACTGGCAAAATCAAAGGTCTATTTTAACACGAGACAAAGACAAATGAAAAAATATTCTGTGAGAACTGACTTCTTTGAGTACTATAGATACCATGGTTCAAGTGGAAAACTGCATTGTGATTAAGGTTCTCCTAAGTAAGCAGCATTAATTTTATATCTTAGCTACAAGATTCATGAATTTTCTTTAGACTGAAGAAAAAGAAAATTACAACTCATGTTTTTCTTCTGAGCATGTGAAAATCTCACTCATCAGTTCCTGCTTATCCTGAAGCTATAAATAGACCCACAGAGTGAAACGCACTCTGACTTCAAACAAATCACAAATATTTATGAGCATGTTTTTTCTTCCGCAATCTCAAGTGGCACACATTTAAAAATATCTGATTTAGCACATATCCATGCATTCTAGTCTCATTTAAATCAAACTTCACCTTTGACATAAAAGGATTGAGCATTTGGCCCATAATGCTGTTCAGGAAAAAAAATAAACAAAAAAGCAACCCAAAAAAACCCCAACAACTGGGCCCCTGCAGAAAGTAAAAACCAATTTTTCCTCATGACAAAAAGAAATTGATATTAAATATTTCACTATATAAGATCTCTTAGTATTGCAGAAACATCATCAGCTGGCTAGCTTATAACAAAGCCATGTCGATGCTCCCATCAGATCCTTGATACTGGCATGTTCAAGGCTGGGACTTAGTATATTATTTTCCTCACTACTAAGAACTGGGTCCTCAGTTACCTTGGGCTGCTTTGAAAATCCCATTTCACACAACTTCTGTGGTAATTACATTTCAAGATGAGGCTTAATTTCTTTAGAATCTATAAATATAATAGCAGATGTACATCAAAACCAAATACCATCCCCCAAAAATTGACGGCTGAGAGATTTTTTTTTTTGTGCTTGGCTGATTTTCTGTTCTCG